ATAAACACACATATATACAATTTATTATTTCACAAGGATCTTGTGGATAAGTAAAAATATGAACTGCAAGAAAATGACAGAACTAAATATAATTAGCTTTACATTCTGTCAATCTGAACTGACAGCAAACAAACTCACCTGGGAAATCTGTGAAAAACAAAATGTAGAGGCCAGATTATCAAAGTAGCACATCATTTGAAATGTGAGAAGAAAATCAATCATAGACATACAAAAGTATGCCATAATGAGTTAAGTTAGTCAAATTACGGATTCAGTCAAGAGTTGAAATATTACTGTTAAATATTAAATAACTAGAGACTCTTGAGTGAAATTGAAGTCCTCTCTAGTTCCTAGAAGGATACTAGTCGTATTTGAAACCTTCCTGATAGGATTTCTAGGTTCCATATAATAATTCTTTCCAAGCTTTAACTTTCACAATAATTATTATATAAAACAATTATTCTAAGCAACAACATATTCTAAATGATTGAAATTTACTTCCCTTTTTTCACCTTTAGTAATGAAGTATTATTAAGCAAGCATCACCTATATTGATTGTAAGCATTGTTGAAATTTTTACAGACTGTTTCTGTTTTAATTTTTTCCCTACTTTATGTTAGGTTCTGAAGATAATTGTTTATTCAACATGATTTTTATTTTTAACATAACTTATATTCACTTGTATAGGAAAATATGATACTGTCTTTATCTTTGGGAATAAAAGATTTTTTTATGTCCTCAAATTCTATTAGTTAAATAAAGATTTTGTCGTACACTTAAGGAAAACCCATGACAAACATTATATGTTAAATAATTCTTTAAAGTTATATAAATTAAGTAGGTATGTTGTTGTCAACTTTCAGTCCTCAGTTTCTAGAGGCAGAGGCAGGTGTAGCTCTATGAGTTTAGGGCTATCCTCATCTATACACTGTGTGACAGGATTAACGGGCCCCATAGAGAAATTCTGCCTCAAATGAACTGGCATATGGATGGATGGATGGATGGATGGATGGATGGATGGATGGATGGATGATAATGGATAATAGATGATAGATAGATAGATAGATAGATAGATAGATAGATAGATGATAGAGAGGAAGGAAGAAAAAGAAAAAAACAACAAAAGCACTTATATAAATGAGGAGGGCTCAGTTGATAAAGCTGTATGCTTCATGTATGTACTAAGCCTGAAGACCTGAGTTCAATCTCTTGGACCCTTGGACCCTTATAGTACTAAGATAGAACAAATTCTTGATAGTTGTAACCTGACTTCTTCATGTTTACTGTGCCCTCATGACACACAATATATATTTTAAATGTTTATGAATATAAGTTTATACAAACAATTATTATTTATTGAGAATAAGAGTTAAGAGCAAAAAAATGAAAAAAAACATGTTGGTGGATAATATATGAAGATGTGTGTGTGTGTGTGTGTGTGTGTGTGTGTGTGTGTACAAATGAACAGGAATTAGACTGGAAAAGAATGCAATATAAAGGAAAGAAGAAGCAAGAAAGAGTACAAAGTAATGAGAGAAATACACAAAGTATTTTAGGCTTTCATTTTGGAGAGAGAGACATGAAAGCATAAAGGAGAATAATTGGGCAAATAAAGGGGACCAGGATAGTGGACAACAGAAGAGAAAAGGGAGAAATTAAGAAAAATAATTGTGAAATTGTAATGAATACATCAAAGTAATCATCATACCTGTCATAGTTTAGGTTTAGAGTTATCTCTATTCTATATGTAATAAACATGCTAGTTTCCAAGATAGTGTTAATGGCTCTTATCAGAGTGGATATCCCACATGACCACAGCTTTCTGTATATGTGTGTCATTTCTTAATTGCCCCTGTCAGGTCAATTGCAAAGCCATGTAAGTTACAACATTGCACCTTATTGTGTTCCTTGACTCTCATTCCTTTCCCTTCTCCTTCCAAAAAACGCTGCTTCAATTTAGAGAAAATAGCTACAAAATATTGGGTCATATATAATTTGTACAAAGTTCTATGATACTTAGTATTGATTGAGACCTGACAGATTTTAACACATTTGTATTCAGTTGGCAGTCCTGATGAAATGAGGGATGAGAATAGGATTGGTAGATACTAATAACGTTAAGTTCATGTTCTTTGCCAGAAAGACACAGCTTCAACCATTTATCATCTCGTGTCTTCAAAACTTTCTGATGGCATAATTCTAAGAATTAATATATTAAAACAATTCCTGTCTGCTATTGGTTACCACCAATACGTAGTATGATTTAAAAAAAAGCAGATTGAAATAATTACTTTCTTATAGCCATTGTTGGCCTGAATATGTTAAATCATCTTTTAAGAATGATACTCCCTCTATTTGTCTATTAATATTTATCTATCTAACCACCTATCATCTTCTGTCTAGCTACATACTTATATACATCGTGTTTCACTTTTTATGTTTCCTATAATACTAAAATCTTAGGATTACTACAGCTGTGGTGAAACACCGTAACCAAAAGCAATGGGAAGGAATGGATTTATTTTACTCAGTTTCATATAGCAAAGTAATGAGGGCAGAAACTTAGGCAGGGCAGGAACTGGGACGCTCCCATTGATACAGGGGCCAGGGAGATGCTCTGTAATGCCTTGCTCTACATGGCTTACTCAACCTGCATTCTAATAGAACACAGAATCCCCAGCTAAAGATGGCAACACCCACAATTGGCTGGGCCATCCCCCATCATTCATTAATTAAGAAAATGCCTTATACCTATATCCCATGGACGAACCTTTTTTAAACTGGGGTATAAAGACCTCACAGTCTTTATACATTCAAACACATTAAAAGCATTAAAAGTTCAGTCCCTTTAAAATATCCATTATTCTCTCCTTCTCCCTAATGCCAGCAGATGGGATAGCTAGCCCTAGGGTCATGAAATCAGGAGAGCTGGGCCTGTCCCTTGATGGCTTAAGTGTTCAGTGGCCTAACTGGGGCAGAGCTCACTCTGGTGTCAGGGTACAGGAGACCTGCCAGGCTGAGCAACCCAGCTACAACCCATGCCCAGATCCAGGACTATGAGTTGGCCCACCCCAACAACCACCTCGTCTATGAACAGCTGATGCATGTGAAGGGACAAGTCCTATAGAACAACTGGATATATGAGAGAAGTCATCATGATAATCCAGTATTGATAGTGTAGCAGAAGTCAGAAACCTCAAACCAGACCATTGCACTGAATCTTTGTGTGTAAAGATGTATAGACAAAGGGTATTGAACACTAAGATTTTGATATTATGCTCAGTCACATTTTAGGTAGCCCATAAAGCCATGTGTGTGTTTTTACCTGTTTCTTATTGTTTTGATGATGCAATCATTATATTTAAAATAACATATCATGCCTGTTTTCCCTATGCATTTTTAGGTAGTTATTTTTATCAAAAAAAATGCTGTTGTCATCTAGCCATAAACACACAATATATAAAAATAGGAAAAGAAATTACAATAGGGATTTTGTAGTCTAAACATCTCCTTTATGATTTTAAATATAAATTATAATTAGAGTAAATATGAGAGAAATCTGAAAAGTTATCCTTTTGGTGAGAAAATTCCTTTTATGAGCATATAGCATATTGAAAGTAGTACTATTCTAATTACCTAAATTCATAAATATTCTGGGATGGATAATTAGATCATTCAGATGAAGCTCACACACAGTAATAACCTTAAAGCAATTTATAGGTTTTTGTCTTTTTTTTAAGTTAATCTTTTATTTTTACCTTTTTTTTACACTCCAGATTTTATTCCCCTCCTGGTCCACCCTCGGACTGTTCCATAGCCCATACCTCCTCCAGGCCCCCCTGTCTTCACGAGGATGTGCCCACCCCCTAACCCCCTACCTCACCGGACTTCTAAACTCCCTGGGGCCTCTAGTCTCTTGAGGATTAGGTACATCTTCTCTGACTGATCCAGACTGGGCAGACCTCTGCTGTATATCTGTTGAGGGCCTTATATCAGCTGGTGTATGGTCCCTGGTTGGTGGTCCAGTGTCCAAGAGATTCGGGGATCCAGGTAAATTGAGACTGCTGGTTCTCCTACAGGGTTTCCTTCCTCCTCAGCTTCTTCAAGCTTTTCTCTAATTCAACCTTAAGGGACAGCAGCTTCTGCTCATTGGTTGGGTGCAAATATCTGCATCTGACTCTTTCAGGTGCTTGTTGGGTCTTTCAAAGGGTAGTAGATATGTCCCTTTTCCCTTTTTGTCAGTGCTCCATAGCCTCAGTAATAGTGTCAGGCCTTGGGCCCTCCCCTTGAGCTGGATCCCACTTTGGGCCTGTCACTGGACCTTCTTTTCCTCAGGCTCTTCTCCATTTTCATCCCTGCACTTCTTTCAGTCAGGAACAATTATGGGTCATAATTTTAACTGTGGGATGGCAATCTCATCCCTCACTTGATGCCCTGTCTTTCTGCTGGAGGTGGGCTCCACAAGTTCCCTCTCACTACTGTAGGGCATTTCATCTAAGGGCCCCCTTTTGAGTCCTGAGAGTCTGTCACTTCTCAGGTCTCTGGTACATTCTGGGTGGTCACCCCAACCTCCTACATCCCAAGATTGCCTGTTTCCATGCTTTCCTCTGGCCAACAGGGCTTTAGTCCTTTTCTCCCACCCAATACCAGATCATGTTCCGTTCTTCCTTACCAACCCCCACCCTATACCCCTTGCCTCCCAAGTCGCCTCCCTCCCTCCATGCTTGTGGTTGCTTTCTTTTCTCTCCCAAGTGGGACTGAGGGGTCCTCACCTGGACCCTTCAGATTGTTGACCTTTTTAAGTTCTGTGGACTGTATCTTGGGTATTCTTTACTTTTTGTGGGCTAATATCCACCTACTAGTGAGTACGTACACTGCATGCCAATCCACTTATTAATGAGTACATACCATGCATGTCAATTTATAGTTTTTTAGGAAGAAATTTCAATTAAAATATGAAAACCAAAATCAATGAAGATTTTCTCTTTTGTCTGTCACAGGGTCCAAGTTTTCTCTCTGAGGCCATCTTTCCTAAATATGAAACAAAAACTGAAGAAGTAGATCCATCTTTCAACCTCCATGAAGCCATTACTAAGGTGGGAATGCCTTTGTGAACTCACAAACACAATGATAACAAGTTCTTTATTTTTATGTTACTGTGGTTTGTTGTTTTTTTAACATAGGTAGAAGACAAGAGAAACATCAGTCAATACAATGCTTTTATAAGTAGTAAGGATGATAGCAAATGTTTGGGAAAGTGTTAATAAAATCATTCAAGATATAGTTCATGATGCAGGATTTATAACAGATCAATAACATAAATTTAAAAAATTAATAAAATATCAAATAAACAAATAAAAATAAAATAATAAAAATAAATCAACAAACAAATCAATGGATACTGTTCTTGGTCTTATTCTAAAATCAAGTTTGTCTTTCATTTTAAATGGACAAGAACTTCAAATATTATAAAACAAAAAATTTTCTAACTTTTCTATCCAAAGTTTTCTTTTAATACATTTATCTCTTGCACTTTCATTTAATTTGTTTATATGTGTTTGTGACACATGGGAATGCACATGTATCATGTGATCATGGAGTATAAATGATAACTTTCTGAAGTCAGTTGGTACTTGCCTTCTACCTTGTGGGTCCTGTGTATAAAACCCAGGCTGTCAGGCTTGGCAACAGACACCTCTACCCACTGAGCCAGCATACTGGTCCTGTTTAACACAGTTTACTTCCAGTATAAGAAGAGCTTGCTTTATTGGTTAAAGAACTGCATTTTTAATATTGCATGTTTCTACTGTGTATTTTTAGCCATAATTTTATTATTAAAAAAAAACAATTTTTCCAGAGTGGAGAAAATAAATTTATTGTTCCTCTTATCAGGTGACATCCTATGACAGTTTACATTTACAAATTATTCATCTAACCTGTCAAAGCCTTCCTTTCTGGCATAGACTTTGCAGTGTATATTGATATTTCAGTACCATTAAAATAATCCATATTTATATATACTTACTAGAATTATTTAAACATCCTTAAATCTTAGCAAAATGTGACAGGCCGTTTTTCTCCTTAAAAAGAGGAAGTGTGGTAAAATAAACAAATCTCAGCATGTGGCCACTGAATAATATCAGGATTGAAAGTCTGAGAGTCTATGTCTGTCTATGATATTTAAGAACCATGTAAATTTAGTTTTTTAAGTTTTAGAAAAAAGTGAAGTTTGAATTACAATCTACTTAAAATTCATCTAAGCTCATAATATTTATTACGTTTGCCTTTACAATCAACTCCAGTTGCCTGAATTCATTTTTAGTACCTTCATCTTATTTTTATATTATTATGCAGATATAACTTAAGAAAATTTGCCTTCAGATCCTTCCTTAGCATCTAAAATATTAAGTGTATTTCTAATACTTACAGATTCTATTCATTTTACATATATTTATGTATATTTGTATGTGAATATACAAATGAAGATATAGGATTTTAAATAGATAATTAGATTATTTGCATCTGTATATATAATGGATACATGGTAATTCTCTTAAAAATCTGGGTATCTATTCTACATTTGTTTGCTCTTTTTAAGCAAAGAATTATAGGATTACAAAATGATGCAATCTTTACATTTTTCTTTACTTCTTATTCTGTGTTGATTAGAGAAGTAAAGCATTTTTGTAAAAGAGCAAGTTGAGACTGTATTGACGTCAGACATATAATGGGGTAGTAGTATAGTTGATAAAATTTCCAGACACAGAAAATATCTGGCCTTATCTAAGAAGAGTACACACTGATTCTCAGTAGCTTGGATTTTTTGCTCCACATCACAAGTAGAACTTTTGAGAGCATTTTGGGAAAAGATGAATGAGTAAACAAGTAGCTATGAGCACAACCTGAATATTTACAGAGGTTCATCACCCCATGTGATAACTAAGTATACCTACGTATCACATGAATTACATACTTTGCTTCCCTTGGGCCTACATGTGTTTTATATTTGATGCTAAATATACACTTCATTAGAATTCTAAAGGGAATATTAGATCAAATTCCTTGCCTTTAAAGAACCATAAACAAAGTAAGTACCTACTTTAGAGTTCTATGAAAGTTTTCACGCATTATATACATTACCAATGTAATTCTCCTTCCAAAACTTGAGAGTTCCTGCATTCACATTTCAAACATAGACCAAGGGAAGAAATTTTACTTCTGGAGTTCAGTATTAAATAATTAGAAGCAGGAATGGAGATCTGTAAAGAAAATATTTAGAATTATGTGATTTGATTTTAATATCCAGTTTTCTCATCATCATAATCAACAACAAAAACACTTAATAAATAATACTAACACATAGCTTGGAATTGTACAACATAAATTTTTGTTCTAGTTTGCCTAGAAAATATTAATATTTCACAATTGAATTTTATTTTATTATCAACATAGAAAGTAATAGATTAATTATATTCTTTCTAGGAAACAGAGATGAAAAGAATGATGTTAATATTTTCTCAACAAATTTGATATTCATATCATTAAAACTTAAAGAGCCTCTGTCTATAAAGTAGACTATTTTACCTGTGTTTTCTGAGGAACAATTGGACATGAAGGCCAAAAATTACCTTTTCTCTATTATCACTTTCTGTATCTAATAATGATTTATAGTTCATAAACATGGAAAAATAATGTTAGTCTAATTAAAGAAATACTGGCAATATGTTCTATATATAGAAATTGAGGGTAAATTTTAATGCATGAGGAATTATGGTTGTCAGAATATTGTATCATGTATCAGTGGTTTGGCCACAGTGTATTACTAACAACTATTCCACACTTCAATATAGCATTTTAAAAATAACAGGTGTCTGAGTAAGGAAACAGAAATATGTACATGTTGTTATTTACCAATTAGGACAAAACTGGTACTGAGTTATAAGACATGCTATATAAAATTGAAAATAGTGATTAGTGTTGGTTTAAAATATTGTTATTTAATATGAATGCTCAATGATGCAACATTAGCCAATATTGAAGTATTTCTGTAACTCTTCATGTAACTGCAATCAACATTTAAGATTCACATCTTAAGTCCTTTCAGTCAGAGTTGATTTTCAAACAGAACTGATGTAAGACAAAATGGTGTGTAAATATTTGTGATATGATCAATCATCATATCCCAGAAAATAACTCTTTGCATTTTAGAACTTTGCTAAAAAACACAAATATAATTTTATATCTATATAAATTTTCTACATACTAAATGTTAACTATTTATGTTTGGTGCTTTTCTGTATTTAATCAATGCTTCAAAAAACACCCAGCACTCTCCATACATGTTAAGTGAATTGAGTCCTTGAAAGCAGGTCTTCAATGTTGCAGTCCTCTAAGGTTTATTTTTCTCTCGGTTTGAATCTTTCTTGGCATTTTTCTTTTGATACAAAGCACAGGACCTAAGAATGTAATGAATGAGACTCAATATTGATGCCAAACGTTGTAATCCATCATGGCTTCAGCTGTCAGGTGCTGCTGTGTGAAGCTGCTGAAGGGTGTCACTTGCTGCATGGATGGGGAAGAGGCTTTTCTTATCCTCTACCACAGTTGTCTTACAAATCGCATTTTAGCTTTTGAGTTATCATAAAAGACAAACTAAATCCTTCAAAGACTAAAGCATGAATAAATACTAGTATAAATCCTTGCTGCTTAATCCTTTAGTCAGTACATTTAAAAACCATCATGTATTTATATTTTAAATAAGCTTATTCCTTCTCCTATACTCAGGAGGGTTTTTTTTACTGTGTCTCTAAATCTTCAACAATTATCTCACAAACTGTTATTAACTACCCAGGCATTTCTTTTAGTTGACAATAAACCAAGCATGTGGTAAAATCACTTGAATTACAAAATCAATAAACACATATAAGTTGGTTCAAAGGGATGTATCTGTAGGTCGTTTTAATGTTACATGCCAAAAAAGAGACAATGATGACAGCAAGGAGTAGTACAAACAAAAGCAGAGGAGAAAGACCCGGCTTGAAATGGCATATGCACTGCTCTGTAACGGCATTGAAGGAAGAAGGCAGACCAGGACACATGGAGACTAATTCACCAGGGAAGGGGGATTCAAAAAATTTAAGGCATTTCACCTTTGGTATCCATCAGTTTATTTGAAGGTGATTTAAAATTAGATTTTGGTGATAATGTGTGAAAATCAATGATATGTATTTGTTAAAAGGAAAAAAATGCCAAATTTAAGAAACAACTTTAAAAGGGATCCATCAAGTTGCAGAACATGAGACATGAATAGAGTTGAGATAGTGGATATTTTACTTAGTTGTGTCTGAAGCAAAGTGATACTTGTGAACAATAATTAGTAGAATCCCCTTACATGGAACAATGACACAGTCAGAATAAATTCTGCTTGTGAGCTTATTTGTAAATAAAAAATAATTTGTATTTCATTGTTTGCACAGAATATGTAGGAAAAATATCTGTAAAAAATACTATTAGATTTTAAGTGAAATAGAGTTCTATAATTTTTCCTTTCTTTCCTTCCTAAAAATCTACTGATTCCGAGCCTGTGTTGGTCTCAATTCGTAGCATCTTTTTCTTTGTTTAATATTGCTAAGTGCAGGTGCTCATGCATGCATGAGTGTGTGTGTGTGTGTGTGTGTGTGTATTCATTTCATTTCCATTTTAATTTGGTATTGTTTTGGTCTTGTTGGTACATCTATTTCTAGGAGAGAGTGTTTTCCTACAGACTTCCTAGTATTCTAGCTCTTAAAATCTTATGCGATGTTACCTGAACAAAAGAAGCAGAAGCTATAATGTAGATTCATTCAGTGTTCAGTGAGGTTAGGCTCCCCCAGTCCTTTAATCTCTGAATATTATTCAGTTGTGGTTTTTTTTGGGGGGGGATGGTCTCCATTTTCTGTAAGGAAAGACTTTTGATGAAGGCTGTTAACTACTTGGAATTATTCTGATTGAGCAAAGTGGTGATAGTAGATTATTTTCTAATATGATATGCTAGCCCAAAGAAACTAGTTAGGATTTTTCTTTTGTCCTTGCAATGATTTCCTTCCTGTTGAGTAGA